TCTCTCTCTCTCCAGGGAGTGCACATGCCCTATAGCAAAAATCTCTCTTCGAAAAAAAGAGAGAGAAGGACAACTCAGAAGAGCTGGCTCAAAAGGGGACAATGATGTGTTTATCTAATCTTTTAAAGAATTGTTTAATTTTATTTATTCAAAACAGGACATCAGGAAAACTCCTCCCTGACGGCTCCCTGTAAATTCTCAGTGGAGTCTGTGTGAGGGGACAAGACTTAGACCTCACATCTCTTCCCTGTTGTGCTCACTTTCAAAGCGCTACTGGTACATTTCGGGCCCTGGATGCTGCTCAGCGTCTAGTGACTACTAAACATCTGTCGCCCTCAGCACCCCTCTGAACCCAGACTGGGCTCTCCAAGTTCCCACTCTACAACCCCACCAGGATGCTTGCCCAGGAGGCATCTGGAGAGCCGTGAGTTACTGCGTGTAAAGCCACCCCAGCCCTACCAGTTCTGCTCTTCCCACAGTCTCCTCACTTTGGTAAGTGACAGCTACAACTAGCCTTGTCGTTGACTGAGTCAGAAACCTGGGATCATCCTGGTCCTAACCTCCACCGTCTCTCACTTGGCTTAATATACAACTCTCCCAACTGTTCCCCTGCCTTCGTCTTTACACCTCTGCAACCGGAATCAGTGTCATAAACCTGAGTCACATAGATCCCCTCCCTGTCCCCAATCCTCCTGTGGTTTGCCATCTCACTTGGAGTGGAAGGGGAAGTCCTTCCAACGGCTCCGCTGTCTACCTCCCCCACCATGTCTCTGCTCTCAGACTCACTACTCTCCAGCCACACAGGTCTCCTGTGTCACTCCCTAAAAGCAGCAAGCACATGCCAGCTTCTAGGCCTTTGCATCTCCTGTTCCATCTGCCTGGAATCCTTTTCCTTCATGGCTTCCTCTCTTTTCTTACATCTCAGATAGCGGGTAACCTTCCCTGACACCTTACAGAAAAGCACTGCTACCCCCAACAGCGCCTCCCTATCATACACCCTTATTCTATTCCCCCCATCACTCATGATATTTGACATATTGCATGTGTACTCGTTTGCTCTTGGGTCCACATAGTCCCTGGAATACGGCCCCATGCAGACAGACACTTGCTTTGCTCACATCCTTTATCCCCAGTAACTGGGCCAGGGCCTGGCAGAACATGGATTTATTGACTGAACGAAGAGGAGGAGCCCATAGCCCCTGCAGGCTGCTTTCCCTGGGGGTGCTGTGGGTGAGCACTTTTCCCACTTGCCTGTTCTCAGCCTCTTGCTTCACATATCGCTGTTCCCTCCCTTCATCACAGAAGATTCCTGGGAAAGTACCACTTAGCAGCAGTCATTTTCTGCCTCTGAATGGCAAGAGGTTTATGGTGAAAACCGATTGAGGAGGACATGCCCTCTGGGTTGTCTTTCCGCACTTTCCCACACTTGTACCCTGGGCAGGTGCCCACTCAGCAGTGCTGAGAGAGCTGTGGCTGGCAGACAGTTTGGGGCATAGGCTGTGCCATCACTGGCTTCAGAAGGAACCTAGAATTTGCTTTCTTCAGGCAAGTTTCTGACCTCAACACAGCTTTTGTTCGTTTGTTTGTAGTTATCTGTATCATGCCCAAGAAGCTTAGGTGAATATGGCGGCCTCTTAAAAACAGGAGAAAATTCCCAAATCAAAGACCCAAAAGCCCCAGATAAAGCTCTCTACAAACAGCAAGTGTAGCAGTGCTAGCAATCCTCCAGCTAGCCAGCAGATTTCCAATGTGTTACTATTTCTCACTCACTACTCTTAAAATCACCTCTGTTCAACCATTCTCTTATATCTTATGAGAAATTCCGGCTAAGTATAATGGGAATTTACAGGATTGTTATCTGATGAAAGCCGTATGGCCCAAGACAAAGTTAACTCTAGCATTTTCTTAATACATTTAAGGGAATGTACACACATGCAACAGTTAAAAAAAAAAAAAAAAGCTTTTGATTTGTGTTTCATCCAAAAATGAGACAACGTCCCCATGGCAGCTACACCTTAGAAGGTCTTTCCTGTGAAAGCACTTCTTTTTTTTTTTTATACTAATTTTTTATTTAATTTTCTTCATGTTCAATCGCATTACTTAAGTTACAAAGTGAACATTTCAATATGTCAACATTTCTTTCCAATCTAGTTGATCAAAATACTCCTAAGATGACATTCATATTCCGATCAAGGTCCAGAATGGGCCACCACTGGCCTCCTTTAGCCTTGAAACATGCCGAAGGGAACTCTGTGGTGGGGACAGATCGCAGCGTACTCTTTTTTTTTTTTTTGAGAGGTTTTTTGCTATAGGGCGTGTGCACTCACCAGAAAGAAAGACAGAAAGCAAGAAATCACCCCCCAGGGGGTATGGCCACACCATAATCCCTTCTCCTCCATTCTCCTCTTGGGATCTTGGGCACGCATGGATGCGTACCTGGCGTGAGTTGAAGCCACTGGGTCTGGGACTCGAACCACGGTTGACTACATGGGAGTCCAGTGACATCACCAACTGCTGGTCCCCTCAGCATACTCTTGATGCTAAGAGCAAGGTCTGAAGCCCAAATATTTCAGGAAAATGTATAAATCACATAACAGCTAAATATTTCTACTCATGAGCTACATAATGATACTTCTAATATTGTACTAGTGCTTAAGGTGGAAAAGAGGTTCTTAAACCAGTATTTTTAGCATCTAAATAAATTAGTTTATAATTACAGAAAAATGTATTTTCCCCTTTTCTTTGTTTTAATGGCTGGAGGGCATGCACACTTGCCAGAGTAGAGGGGAGAGAAAACATTCCCGCAATGGAGTGTGGTCATGCCACACTCCCTTTTCCTCTAGTTCTCCATGCTATCAGGTTGTCGAGAAGGTCATGATGCATTGTTGTGTGCAAAAATGTGTCATGACGTTCCTAACAGACAATGGTTGGCTTAACGGAAGTAAGCATTCTCAAAGGCCAATGATGGCATTTTCTAAAGTTGAATGAACCAGGACTTAGTTTCCAGAAATGTACATTTCCCGCTTTTTCTCTTAAGGATTAATATAAGAGGACAAAGCCAGAATTTTAAAACACAAGCTCTCATCAGAATAACATAAAGGTGGATTATTACAAAAAACAGAAGCACTAAACATTACAGGCTAACAAAACCTTTTTATCTATACCTTATTACTAAAAAGTATAAAGTTACTACAAGTGGCAACTTGTTACGAGTCTAATTAGAGCTCCTATGTAAAAATTGTTAAATCCTAGAATTACTGGGTTGCATGTCTTGAGATTTTGAGCTGTCATGTATTTTGTCTTCTAGATGATACATTTTTTTTTAAGACTTTTGAGTTTCTTAGTGCTTATTGGTGGGCTGACACTTCAACCATCATTCCTAAATATAACCTTGGGCCAGTGTGGCCCCTGAGGTCACATGGAGAGAACTGGCTGTCAAGCACTTCCCGTGGTGGCATCAAGCAGGGAGTCTCGCTCGCTAAGCGGGTAATAACCAAGTCCACCCCATGGACCGGTCTAAGTGCTGATGTCATCTTGTTCCCCAGAGAGAACTCAAAGCCTGCTTCATGCGTGATCCAGCCAGGTCTCAGAGCACAGCAAGTGGTCTCCAGAGCAGTCCCTTTCCGAGCTGAGGAGACCAGCATAGGCTTTCTCCTGGTGTGGTCCTGATCCCGGGCTCTGCCGCAGAATCTGGGCGAGGATTTTCAAGAGGCCAGGCTCTTCCTGTGCCTTTCTCACCCCTACCGCAGTAGAATCTCTGTGGAGGAGGGGGATCCGTGCGAGGAGTACACCCACACTTACACATCTAGCCTGTGGTCTCCCAGCTGTCAAGCTAGTACCTAGGGACTGCTTTACCTTTTTTTACTTTTAAATTCTTTTGATATAACTATAGATATGATAAATACACAGGAAGTAAATCTTCAGCCAGCCTCTCCTCATGTGAATGCCTTCCCTAACTAGAGTATAGCATCAAAGCCAGCAAACTGACACCAGGTGATACACACTCTCAACCGCCAATCCTCAGCTTCCCAAGTGAGCAGGTCTCCGCTTGTGTTGCTGTGCTTGGGTGAGCCAGATCCTACCAGTCAACAGATACCATGCATGGAGGCTCAGCAAAAGCAATCCTGTGCATTTTTCTCCTGATCAAAAATAGCACAATGTAACATTTGGAAAATGTTAAAGGACAAAGTTTAGATGAAAATCTTTGATTTCACACTAGGGATAAAAACAGCTCTGACATAGGGAATGATAACTTGTCACTTTAATTTA